TGGATGAATTGAGGTTTGGATTTATTTGTCCATTTTTCTGTCGGTCAGTACTTTAAGTAACATTTATACTTTATCAAAGTTAGACAACAAACATGTATAAGATAATCTACTTAAGGTGCATTTCAGAATGAAAGTGACAATGAAAAGGGAAAAAATTGTGCCAGTCATATCCCCATATCCCCAGTATTTCTAATATTATGAACTAGATCACATGTCTCTACAAAATATTATAGTTCCCGCTTGTCTACAAAGAATATTGCCTTCTAAGACCCTCAGTGAAGACTTAAAAGTGAGACAGGAAAGGTCCCAGTACAAGGACAGGACAGGACTCAAGGACAGAAAATCACTGTTCCCATAGTTCGGTAAACAAAATGTGTACCAAACTCAATGACTGTAGGCCCCAATGCCTGCTGTCATGTATTTCCTTGGTGAATTGTTTTTCCCAACATGTGCATTCATAATATACTTCCTTACAACTTATCAAGTTAGCTGTTGCAAAAGAAAGGAGTTACAGACCCTGAGAGCAGACCACTTCTCTGGAGCTGCAGGCAATGGCCCCCATGAGATGATCTCCCATGAGATTGTTCTTGGGAGCTCTGAGCTGCAGCTGGCTGGCAGTTAACAACAGTAAATGGACCACAGACAGACAAGTGGATATCAGCCAAGTCCATGCTCCTTGCCTTCTCAGCCAATAAAATTTCACTCCTTTGTTCTCAACACCCTGGCCCTTATGCTAAGACACACCTCTAGACGTGGCAACTCAGAGGGTCTCTCATGGCCAGAGAGGGTTCCTTACATCTCTCTTTCCGAATTCTTGCTTTAAGCAATAAACACTGTTGCCTTGCCTGCCCTCACTGGTGTCTGTAGAATCCTCTTCAATCTTGACTAAAGATTGAAGAGCCCTCCCCCAGGCTCAGGAGCAGGGCCCCTGGGCCCATCCTTCAAATCCCAGCAGGTGGATCAGTGGACAGCAGCTCTTTTGCTCCCTTCTTATCTACCTGTTTTGGTGGAAGCTGAGATCAGGTCCTCATGTCCTCTCCCTTTCTGGTATCAAAACCGTGGTTGCTCCTGAACTATGCATGTGTGTGTGTGTGTGTGTGTGTGTATTTAAATGTGTTTGTATACATTGTGTTTGCCTATAATTAATACCTACAAATCTAATTTACAAATTAGATATATTAAGATAATAATAATAATAGAACAATTATTGTGAATATGGATTTCTCTCAAAATATCTTATTGCATGTAGTATTTTCTGGCCTTAGTTGCCTGCAGCTAATTGAAATGCAGAAAGTGAAACACTTATCTAAGTGGGGACTACTGTAAAGTTTTCTGTCCTCTTTAGCAGCCAAGTCATTGGAGAACTGGATGAAATACATCAAAGGGAGGGGAAAGGAGGCAGTGACTCGTGTATTCAAAGTCTAGAATTTTAGAACTCCAAGCTACTTTCAGACATGGAACCAAATTAAACTTTCAACACTCTTAAATCCTCTCCTTTATTCTTTCTTTGTTCTCTAGTGCAGACATGAACTGTTAACTAGAAATTAATGTCCAAAAAGGGTCAGATTTAATTCAAGATTTTTTGTAGTCCTAAAAATTGCAGTAGGGAAATCATGGTTAATGAAATTAAGGTCAAGCTTAACTAGGGTATGTGTTCTGAGTTATGGGGTATGTGTGAACACGTGTGTATATGTACTCCAAGATAAATGTTTTATTGGTACATTTATGGAAACATGTTCATTCATCATATCATCTCAGCACTTGCAAAGCTCTTAAGGACAATTCTTGCTCCTCACAGTACCAAATTCCAATCTTAGAAATGATTAAAATAACCCTAAAGGAATGAAACCAGGAAAAAAAGCTTAACAATTGGGTTAAACTAGTTCCTAGCCCAGAGCACCCTTTTTTATACTCCAGGACTTCCTCCAAACATTTTTTAGTGTGGTACTCATGTGCAAGAAAGTGTTGTAATTCCTCCATTTGAAAATGAAAATGTGTGTGTGTGTGTGTGTGTGTATATATATATATAAAGTATAAATGGCTATAAACATAATAAATAAGGCATAGGATTTCCCAGTATCCTATTTCATCCTGACACTACAAAATATTTCATCAGTTGCAGAGGGGAGGGGAGGGGAGGAGAAGGGAGGGGGATAGGCTAAGACCTTTCTACATGTAATTCACTCGTTTCTTTTCACAAGCTAAATAATAACATGTTGCCTGGCTCCTCTAACCTAAATGACTCCAGAACTTTAACATTTTATTTTTCATGATTGGAGAACCCGGGAAGTGGGTGAGGAGCTGCATGTTCTCTGAGAGTGAAAGGCCCAAGAGTAATTGCTCTTAAAAGAAACATATCTGAAAGGAGGACAGAGTGGTGAACCATAGGCATGACTAGTTTTACTGAGGTCCAGAAGGAGGACCTGAAATCAGAGAAAAGGAAGAGGAAGGATATATTGCTAGCTCTATGCCAAGAGCCTTCCTGCTTCCCAGCCCCTCTCTGTGTGACTTTATTTGTTCACATACATGTGTATATTGTGGCATTTCCGGAACAATCCCCATCCAAATTATTACTCTGTCTTAGTTTGACTATTTGAGGTGAGAACTTATATCTAGATTTTTTTATTTACAAAGTATCATTATTATCAATAGTGAACCATTATTGGTGCCTGCTAATGTTTGTTATCTTCTAAGTAGATAAACACTTGGCTTCCTGAGAAATTTTCTAAACCTCAGGAAAAGAGGGCAGGTTCACTTCTAAAAGATTGCATCATGGTTAGTTTTACTATGGTGCCCCCTAGTGCTATGTGAGTTTAGATTCACTTTCTGTATTTGCCAATATATAGACAAACAGAAGCAACAGTTCTGTGATTTTTCCTGTGTCTTCTTTTGCTTCGAATAGAATGAAGTGTGTTCCCTTCGAATGAGCCACAATGAGCCATATCACAATACGTTTGTGATATGCCTCCACCTAGATTTTCATCCTCATCTTCTACCATGTTCCCACAAACACTCAAAATTGAACCATTCTGGACAACTTGCTATTCTTCCTGGAAAACCTTCTGTCCCTAGTCAAGCACCCCATCCCTCTTACTTATGTAAAGAACTTCTAATCTTCCTGCTAATAGCAGTTGCACTATCACCACCATTCCTAGGTTCTACCTCCTAGGGTTTATATTTTCTCATGTATTAAATACTTTTGATACTTGCTCAAAAAATCCAGTGAGTCTTTGCATTTTCCTTAGAACCTCCTTTAAGAGCCTCAAAATACTTAATGACATATCAGTTAAATGCTACAGAGATTTAATTCCCATACAGTTTGCTTATGAAATGTAAATTTAGTTGCATTGAAAATCATCTTATTTGCACGTTATAAAAGAATAAATTTCTAAAAAGTTGTCAAGTTATATAGAAACACATTTAGATTGAGCTCATTAGAGAAAAATTCTTCTGGCAAAAATGCCTTTTTCTTTCTCAGCAATCAAACAAAGGTCCACATTCACCAATAAATAGTAAGTTCTATTATAGCCGTCATTGACATGGAACTGGTCAGTTCACTTTCCAATAGCCCTTCATTTTTATTTTCCCCTGTATCCAAAAGTGATAAGAATGATGACTTAAAAAGACCTCACATCTATATAGTACTATAAGTAAAAGTAATACAAATTTACTAAATCTTCTCACCTCATAGGTTAGCTTTTTCCTGAACTCACAGCTAACACTAGAAGCCTGATCCTTTAACCAGCAATTCCAACAAATTTCCAAACAGTGTGTATTGATTTTGATGACAGAAGCTCTCAGGAGCTTTGTTATAGGGGTTTGTTATAGTGAATCTACTTCTCCCTTTCCAAATAAGGTATTTTCTAACCCCAAATAGGCTAGATATATACACAGTATACAAATAAGTACAGAAAACTAATATATGGGCAAATTTTACTTCCTCCAGTCCCTTCTTAAGAACTATGAAATCCATAAATTTAGATACGAAACTCTTCTTATTTATATTTTGTGTTGCTCAAATCCACATGTCTATTCCTATGAATATATATATATATATATATATACATATATATATATGGAAGAACTCACAAGACTCTCAGTTGCAAAATATCTTTCCTGATCATTTGATCCAATTGCCTAAAGTTACAAATAAGGAAAATCAAGGCCCAAAGAGGGAAGTGAATACAGGGTGGATAACAGCTATCTTTTTCCAGCATATTTCAAAAATGAAAACTTCCTCCTCTTATGAAGTTAATAAAACTAAAACACAATAATGAGAAAACAGAGATTACTAAATAAATTTGATAGGAGGGTAAGTTGATTCTCAAGTAGAATATGACAAAGATTAATTTTTATAGGATCATCTCTAGGCAATTATTTTCTAAGGGTAAAAGTTAAATCTTAAGAAGTAAAGGAAAATCATTCTTCTCCAAATACCATTCTCCTACAATAGAAGAGATTCAATTTGACTGGCTAAGTAATGTTCATTTCAGCTCTATTTTTACCACCTATGCACTTCATTGTAACATTATCTTATGAAAGTAGAGGTTTGATTTGCATCACCACCTACCCATATATCAACCAAAATTCCAACTCATAGATGAGTTTAGTCTATAGATCAAGTTAGTCTGTATCTATGTGCCTTTTTCAAAAGCTACTCTACAACCTTCTCTTTCAAATATTCTCTGTCACCCTCACCATACACACACTGCTGCCATCACTGTTTTACAAAGTGTTCAGGAAGAACACACACGTCCTGGCTATGCTAGCCTCCTTCCTAATAAAGTATTGAGATGAAATAAAGGACCCATTGTGTCCTTACATTACATTATAAGAATGTAATATAGAAGAAATTACATTAACTAAACAGCTAAACAGTCTAGCTAGTAATTTTTTAAAAGACATTAATGCTAGGTGAAGAATTTCAAGAATCTGGGTCCAAAGCTATCTGTATCTGGGGTATACAGAGAATGTTTCTTGAGCAAACAGCTCTAACATACCTGCCATGTCTTTCTTCCATTTGTTCCAGGACCCTAGAGAAAGCTGGTCCCAGCGACTGGTTCATTGTGAATTCTAGTATTCTGGAAACCCGTAGTCATTGCCTTCCAGATTCTGTCACAGAATTGCTAGATGTCTTGCCAGAAAAGACCCCTGCCCTTCTTCGCGTCCTCTGGTTATTGATAGTTCAGGCAGCCCTGCCACCAACTGGCTTTACCTTTTGCCCTTCCTTGCTGAGTGCCCTAGTGCAATTGTTTATCCTCCACTCGAGCCATCTGTCCTGTCTTTTTATCATCCCACAGTGTGAGGAAATATGTATCACTGTGGTTTTTTTGAAAAAGCACTTTCAGAGCTCCTAGACCTGATGAAGGCACTCAGCTGTTCTATTTTGGTTACTCTCTTTGTTTTCTTCTCGGAAGAGCCTCGTTCCGGTCTATATCTTGGGCATCCTGCCATGGACACACAGCTCCTCTCCCCAAATTGCCTACTCTAATGTCACTCAAAGGGCTCTACACAAAAAAAGAAACTTGCGATAGGAGAGGACAGATGTGTTCTTCACACTAGTGTGCAGACTTGAGCGTAATACCGGCTACGCTGCTGGAATCTGGGGACACGGGACCTCTCTGTGGTACAGTGATCACAACCACACTCTGTGCACCAAAACCCCCTATTTCCTGTAGGCAAAGACAAGCCCAGGCATCACTGGGACTGTGCTCATCGTATCCTGATTCCGCTTGGGGCAACCCTTTTCTGACATGCCCATCAGAAGTAAAAACTCATATTGCCTCACATTTACTGAGGAGTTTTCTAACCCAAAATCAACCTGCCAGAGAAATAAGAATCCTCAGACTAGCCCCGACAGATAAAAGAGAGAGAACACATGTATTTCTTTTCAGTGGTGTGTCCTGCAAACAAGGATGTCCTTTGGAGTTAATGCTTGTAGAGATGAAGAAGTAAATAAGCAAAAAATAATGTCCAAAAGGCCAGAATAAAGAAAAAGAGGAAATGGGTAGTAGATTTATTAATGGGGAAAAATACCAAAGAGGTGATCACCCAATATTTAAGGCACTGGACAGACTGGAAAAAGACCAAGCGATGTCTGTAAGTTCTGATTGGTAAAGATTGTGTGAAGCAATACCTGACTCAGTTGTCAGTCGCTGTTTACACATGCGTGTACACACACAAGCACACACGCACCTTTGCCCTTAAAATGCATAAGTTAGCATTTAAAGGAACTTAATATTGACAGCTTCAGCATTTTCACAAAGCAAATGTCCTAGAGTGTCTAGATAATGAGAAAGTAGAACTGTTCTCTTTCCTGTTTCCTTTTTCTATTTATTCTCTGCTCATTAGCAGAATAGATAAATCAAGTCTATCACTAACTCAGAGCTTTCAAGTGACAGCTTGAAAAGGTATACAGTGCTTTTACATGGCAAAGAGTCATCCCAAAGCCCTTGTCTAGCTCCACGGAGCCCCACCATTATGTGGACCGAAAAGAGGGAAGGAAGAGACAGGAGGGTCTTGATACTTAACAGTCGCTGAGGGGAACAGGAAAATAACTCAACAGTTTTGGCATCCGATCATTTCCATGTGACCGTTTGCAGCTGTTGGGGCTGCCAACAGCGTGAGTTGAAGAAAACCAAGTGCTGAGTGTTACATCTTACCTGGGAAGCATAGAAGTGATGGCAGATGTATATGAGACACAGGACCAGCCCCAGCCCCTGAGTCACGGAGACCACCAACCATAGCTTGTTACTTGGGAATCTCCTCCTGGCTGCGTTTTCCAGATTCTCATCCAGGGGTTGGACCCTTTCCATCTTCACAGTCTGGATGCAAGGAAGATGAAAAGTATGGTAAAGGAGAATAAGAGCAAGGACTGACCTATTTGCTACAAAGGAGTAGATGAGGGCAAAACAAAGTGTATCAATCAGAAAATAGACAGAGGTCCCAGGACCAGAGATAAGAGGCAATTGAAAGAGCAGAATGGACTCTCTCAGTTTTAATGCTGCAGCTTTTGCAGGCAGGCGGGGGAACTTCTTTGTGACTAATCTGAATTTCCCCTTTACTTTCTTTCTTTTTTTTTTTTCCTCTGGGCTAACAGGGAGTTGTTTTTGTGGCATTCCAGTTCTGATTTGAGTGACTGTGAAGTGACAGTCATAAAACTGTGCTATTTTCTTAATTTCTCATTGCATCAGGAACCAAATAGGCAGGTCACCAGTTAGATGTGAGGATGATTTTACATTGATGTAGGAGTTTATCTATCCCTCCCGTGAGGTGTCTAAAATCATAGAAGAGATTTAAGGAAAATGTTGACCTTAAGTTCTTGCATGCATTTTACTGGGTAACTAAGCATTGATTTCATTGCACAGTTTCATAATAAAATACATCCAGCCATTCTTGAAGGGAAAAAGAAGAAAATAGGATGGCAGATCATGAAGAAGCAGAGGAATGACAACAATCAAAAAAGGTAATGCCGTTTGCAGAAACATGGATGGAGCTGGAAGGGAACATGCTCAGTGAAATAAGCCAGAGAGAAAAAGAGAAATGCCAGATGGTTTCACTTATAGGAGGATAATAAAGTATAGATCAAAATCAACAGGTTACTATAAACCAGAGACACTCTGCATGGGGGGAGTTGGATCAAAACAGGTGGGAAGAGCACAAGGGACTATGGTGATGGTGCACAGGTGAATTGGTTGTGGAAATGTCACGGAGACTATACAAAGGTGAGAAAGCATGTGTATGAGAATGTATGAAAATGAATATATAAAATGAAGACTGATGTAAAAAATATAAAATAATAAGAGACAAAAAAACCCACTACTAATGGAATCTCAAAAAATAAAGAATAAATAGAAGCATAACATCCTGCAGTTTTTAGTCCATTCTAATAAACCAGTACTTATGAGCAACTACTCCATGTTATACACTGTGCTAGACAGCTTTATAATTTTTTTCTCATGTAGTTTTTGAGGCAAATTGCATAAACACTTACATGATTAATTTTAGCATTGCAAAAAGGAAGCTGAGTATCTTGAACTCTTCCCTCCCCTCCACTTTACATTTCCCTATACATAATTTTGACATGAATGAACAAATGAAGAGATTCCAATAAACTTTACAGTTTGTTCTTATATTTGTTTGAGTCCAAGGATGAATGCAGACCTTGGAAAGTAAGAATATTTTGCTAGTAGACGCTACTTCCCCTTTACCACTGAAGTAAATGACAAAATTATTTATAATGTCCACTTGTCATTATAAATCATGACAAATATAGTCAGTGATTATATTGCAATCATTAATTCATATTTCAGATGATGGATACTGTAATAGTAATCATAATACGATCCAATATAGCACATATTAAGCCCAGGGCGGGCTGGATGGGGGAAACTGTTTAAGATGGAATTGGCAAGAACTGAACTCCCTGAAATCCCCATGATCCACTCAACATGTAAGGAAAAAAAGAAAGGAGAAATATTTTAATTTCAACAATATGGATGTTATATGCAACTCAGTTTTAAGAAAGTGTATGAGGCATATTCAAAAGAGAAGCAGCTTGTGGAAAACGGAAAATCGATGTTTTATTATACTATCAATCAATTAAAACACAAATACCCTTATAATAATCATGTCCTGCATTTGACAAGTATTTTAGTGTTCAGAAATAAATTTTTTTTGAAGAAAAATAAGGTAACTGACATGCTATATCATAAACTCCAAGCAAAAACTAGAAGCCAAGTTCCAAGTAAACTTAATAGAACTAGTGTTGACTCAAACTAAAGCAACAGCTATTTCAACAATTAATAAGCTTTATTCAGAAACAGACAAGAGAAAAGAGGATAGACTGGAAAGTGTGTTCCTGGTGAGCCATGGCTAACAGCCCCCTATCCAGCCTTGGGAGGCTCCCCCAGTTCCATACAGGCATGTTGGGTCCTGCAGTTTGCTGAAAAAGACATGGTGGACACTCCCATGTCTTCCGACCTCATTTAAAGAGGGTTCTGAACATTAATGTTAGTGATAGCTATTCCTATAAGTGAAGTAAATCTAACATGCAGGGTTTGGTGAGGAAAAAAATGGGAGAAAAATCAATGGTGGGGATCAAATTCTCATGTAAATGTCATGCATAGACATCAACATTGGATTTACTCATTTATTTTCAAAAACTGACTAAGAGGCACAGCAAAAATAAAATGCTGTGGGGAACTGAAAAAGAAATAGTGAATTTTAATGCTGAAATTTTCAGAAAATATTGTTGAATGACTGCCAAAAAAAAAAAAAATAAGCAAAAGTGAATATTTGTGCCCTAAGTAGCATCTCTTCTGACTCATGGCTTTTACGAAGAAAAATGGACAATGACTGCTTTTCCTGATCAACAAGAACTGTGCATCGAGATAAACTTTCATTTCTATGTGGTACTAGAAGCCACAGGGTCAACCATGCCAATACTGGGCCTGCACATCACAGGCATACACCTCACCTCCCATGTTCCAAACCCCCTCACCACCACCACCACCAGACGTTGCCTACTTGTCAATTCTTTGTTGAAATTTAAATGATGTTCTATGTTTATTTTTTGTTGAACACATTCTCAGAACTTCTTCAGGTTCTTTGTAAAAAGGGGTGATGCACACAGAAAAACAAGTATAAACTGGATTGGAAGTTCTAGGCAAGACATTTTTCATAGACTGTGGAAGTATTAAAAGCTCATCATTTTGCATTTTGGTTTTGTTGTTTTTTTTTTTTTTTTTTGTAACAACCAAAAGGGCAGACTATTATAAAAAGGGAAGGGAAGGCAGGAACACTTGCACAAACACAGCAGACAGGAAAAAAAAAACTGCCCCTGAGAGGAACAGGTTTGTTAAAAGTGACTTCTGCATAGTCACAGGCCAGCAGCCTTGGGAGGCGCTAGCTCTGCTGCTTTGCAAAGGAAGAAGATTGCTGAAGAGAAGCATCTGCATAGTCACTGGGGTGGGCAGGAGAGCTGCTGTTGGTGTAGCATTTTGAACACTAAACCATCATCAGAGATTAATAATGGAAGTTCAACCTCTGACAAGTGAGCAAAGCCACCCATCTACAAAGCTGTCATGATTTTATAGAGGTCAAAAATATTACCGGAATCTGTATACATTTTTTAAATGTTTTGTTTTCTAAAGATTTGTTTATTTATGCATATAGAAGCGGGGTACAGGCCAGAGGTGCAGGGGTGATGAGAGGATTCACCAGAGACAGAGTGGGGAGCAGGAC